TTTCTTCTCTCGAAGGAAGAAAGCGTTCTTGTGGAAAAATGTTACAAAAAACTTACTACTCTTAGGACCTAAATTATCAAACCTTGGACGTTCTTCTAACACAACCCTTTTCTTCATTTTATTTTTCATTTAAATTTTAAGTTTTCATTAAAGAAAACTTCCTTGTATTTTTTTTCCACAAGAAGAATTTTAGAAGATTTCGATTAAAACGCGACGGCGGAGACCTCACAAACACACACACACACAAACATCCGTCTTATTATTTTCCATTGAACTTTTTTTGATGCAACTGGTGATAGTTTTTACACTTGGTATTTAAAAAAAAAAAAAATCTATGAACGCTTTTATGCGCTTTTACGACAAATCCTTGTATCACAAGTTTTCACGTTTTTCATTAAATCACGCGTCAATTTCTCAATTATTTTATATATATATATATATTTTTTTTTATCATTAAAGATTCCAAATTATCTTCCATAATCGTAAAATTACTGGCTAAACATAAGAAATGGCAAGAAGAAGTTTATAAAATAAAAAAAAAAACCAAAGGAAACAAACCCCCCACCCCAATAACAGAGAGAGGATCATTGAAGAAGTTTGAAAGACAAGATTCTCATCCAATGGTAAATCATCTTTGGACGAGCACAACTTCTCCAATCTAAATATAATTGAATGATAGAGAAGAAGAGATATTGTCAAACAAGCAGAGAACTGTAACTGTAAATTGTGAGAACAACAAGCACCCCTAGAAGCTTTTGATTGTCTCATATTCAAAAAGGCAAGACTTCTAATAAGAAAAAGAAAATCAAAATAGAGAAACATAAAAAGAGAAATATGAGTGGAGTAGGTTTCTTAGCGGCTGTGAAAACTTTCACACCGAGTGGTAGAAGACGAAGACGTTGTGAAAAACAGCAAAAGATCTTGGAACTTCCTGCCGGATACGCCATGCAACCGGATGTCGTGCCTACTTGGGACGCAGCACCACCGATAACTCCACCCGCTGCTTTTCTCCCACCTGGTTACAAGAAAGGCTTTCCTCAAGGTGAGCTTATTTTTGTGCTGATTTCGCCGAAATAAAAAAAAAAATAAAAACCAAAAAAAATCACGTGAAAATCAACTGAATATTCTGTACACACACAGAGACACACATACATACATACATACATACAAAATAAACAAGAAAAATACTGAACTGAATTTAAACGATGATAAATTCACGACGGGGATTCTTACACTGCAATTCCTTTTCATTTTTTTTTTTTTTTTTTTATTAACCAGTTAATCTGTGGCGCCCTCGTTTGAGACCGTTTTGCGTTGGCAGAATCGAGCCATGACGTGTATACTCGTCAATCATAGAATAACTTGCAAACTGTTAAGCTGTTTCAGCCGATGCATAAGGGGGACGGCGCATGAGTTCGTCTCAAATTATTTATATTTTTTTCTTTTTTGTCAATTTTATTTCGTCATTGGCTCAAAATAATCTAAACATCTTGAAATTTGACAATACGTGTTTTGTTTTTCTCAAAAAATAAAAAAAATAAATTACAATTAAAAATGGCCAATGGTCGGTCGTTACTTTATAATAGCGTACGACGAGTATTCTCGTCGATAGAAAAATCGTACTACCACTTCTACATGACTAATGTACTTGTTAATCACAGTTAACTGGGTTTAATCGTCTACTTGTGTTATGACCGATGATTAATTTCGTTTTCGTTTTTAAATGACATCGATGATGAACCTGTTTTATTCTATTCACATGACACAACTAATTTATTTTCTCATTTCCTCAATATTGATTGATGAGTTCTGAGTAAAATCTCTCTAGCTAGTCCATTATCCAATACCCGCGTTCGTTGATGAGATTAGAAAAAAAAAGTATTGTAAGGTACTAAATTACTTGTAAATTTCGGTTAGAAAACGAGAGAGAGAGAGAAAGCTCATTCCTTGCTGAAACTTTTCTCAACTGTAATCCCCCACCCCCTAAGCCCCCCAGGGTGGCTACTAACTCAGATCTGATTCAAAAGGTTCTTAGTAAAGATTGAAAATTTTTAAACGTATAAATAAAGATTGGATTAATAGTTAAGTCAAACCACGTACGACATTAATCAAATCACTGTCTATGTACAACACCCACACAACACCTACACCACACATAAACCCTGCAACAGGCATTTATATTACTGACTTGTTATGGTAAATCTAACAGTAGTCTCCTATCATATTACAAATCATAAATATTAATATCTACATATGTTTCAATGAAAAATATATGTTTTTATATTCTCATAATTTTTTTATTTATAAACATAAAAATGTAGTAGTAAGGAAGGTAGAGACTAACCCTGATAGAGGAGAGCGCACGTTTCAATGGAGGATTCTGATGTTTTACATCGATAAACATCTTTATGGTTATCACAAAAGTTTTCGGAAACTCTTAAATAAATCAAAGTAAAATGAAGGGAGATATAAAATTTTGTTTTTATTTGTTGGAAATATTAAACAATATCTGATTTTACCGTGACACTCTAGTAACCTTTGGGAGAAATAGATTTGATATAGGGAATTATTATACAATATGATGTGGTTCTTGAGAAAAATAGAAAGGAAAAATAAAACAAAAGGTTGAGTATTTCTGGTTTTGTCAGGGTTATTTCAGGGAATTAATATATGTGGTTCTCGAGACAAATAGAAAGAAAAAACAAAAGGTTAAGTATCCCTGGTTGCGTCAGGGTTATTTCAGGGAATTAATATATGTAGTTATGGAGAACAATAGATAGAAACAAACAAAACAAAAAGTTAAGTATCCCCAACTGCGTCAGGGTTATGTCAGGGTTATGTCAATGAATTATTATATGTGGTTCTTGAGAAAAATAGAAAGTAAAAACAAAACAAAATATTGAGTATTTCTGGTTTTGTCAGGGTTATTTCAGGGAATTAATATATGTGGTTCTCGAGACAAATAGAAAGAAAAAACAAAAGTTTGAGTATCCTTGGTTGCGTCAGGGTTGTGTCAGGAAATATGTGGTTCTCGAGAAAAATAGATAGAAACAAACAAAAGTTTGAGTATCCTTGGTTGCGTCAGGGTTGTGTCAGGAAATATGTGGTTCTCGAGAAAAATAGATAGAAACAAACAAAAGTTTGNAAACAAAAGTTTGAGTATCCTTGGTTGCGTCAGGGTTGTGTCAGGAAATATGTGGTTCTCGAGAAAAATAGATAGAAACAAACAAAAGTTTGTGTATCCCTGGTTGCGTCAGGGTTATTTCAGGGAATTAATATATGTGGTTCTCGAGAAAAGAAAAATAAACAAAAGGTTGGGTATCCCTGGTTGCGTTCTAGGACGACAAAGCGAAATTGTACGTGCATCTCTTTCACCACCACCACCACCACCACCATCACCACAAATTCGCATGCAATATTCTCGAGTGGCCTGATGTACTTTTCCATCATTTTTTTTTTCTTCTTCCTCTTCCTGTGTCTGCTTTAAAATCGATCGTATAAAAAGAACGCGTTGAAAAAAAAAATCGATAAGAACAGAAGGGAAAAAAAATACACACACGAACGAATGAGTGAAGTGAGTGAAGTGGTGCGTTTAGGTTTTGCGTATGCTGACGTAGTCGTATATCAGGGCTGTATATAGTAAAGTGAAGAAAGTGGGGGTTAGTAAAACCTATGAGTGGGCGTCAAACTTGCGTATGCTGAAAAATGGGAAAACGTATTCGTTATAATATGATTTCCGTTGGCGTTTTCCTGCTGGTACTGCCATATATGTATGTCTGTGTGTATGTCTACTACTACCACCACTAGTGTAAAATTCGATTGGAAATTTTCCGAATGGCTGAACAAAATCATCCCGCTTGGAAACGTCTCGTCGCTTAAAACCCTGACGCAAAAATTGAAATGCCGTTAACCTCTCTTTCTTTCTGTCTCTTTCTTGCTACTACCATCTTTTATTTTTTTTAATGTTTTTATAACAGGGGTGGGGGGTGAGGATCTCTCAAGTTAATCGTTTAAGTGGATGATATCTTTTGATTTATTCTTTTTTTTTTTTTTGTTTCTATGAAAATATGAATCAATAAAAAAGAATGAATGAAAGTTTTTTCGAATGAGATGGATAGAGAGAGAAAGATTTATTGATAAATAAATTCTATTAATAATGGAGGATTTATTAAATTTTTATAAATTGTAAATATCATCAAATTTACTTTTTATCGTTTTGATGAAATTGTGAAACGAGAAACGTGTTAAAATGAGATTTGAAAAAGAGAGTGAGAGAGAGAGAGAGAGAGAGAGAATTTTTATTATATCGTTAAAAAAAAAATGAATTTGTAACGCTTTTCACTTTTTTTCTTTTTTTCGTTTTGTCCGGTTCGATTTGAGACGACAAACAATTAACAATGACCTACATTTACAAATTAAATTTTCCTATTTTCAATGTCGTTTAAAATATCGTTTTTTTTTTTACTTTCTTTAATTTTTTTCTATTTTTATTTCCTTCCTCTCGTTATCGTTTCGTATATATAAAAGTTAGGTTATGTTCCAATGTTTCGTACACTCAACGAAATCTATTACTAACAGATGGCACTGGACTTACCCCCTATCTTTTCCTTTTTCTTTTTAAATTAATTAGTTATTTTATATAAATAAATTAATGTAATAAAAATCATACCCGTAAGTGAATGCAACTTTGTGTCAAAAATATATATTGGGATCTCTAGCACTTGAATACCCTATCTGGTTGCTAAATTCAAAATTACAGTAGATAGGTCGAATTGCTATGCCACGTAGGATCTGTAGCATTTGAATACGCTATCTGGTGGCTAAATTCAAAATTAGAGTAGATAGGTCGAATTGCTACGTCACACCCCTGCTAGAAATCCCGATATATAATTACAGGTGAACATATAAAAGGTACCAATACAAAGTAATATTGCAGTACTCCCAAAGTTGGAAGGGAATTGGTATTGTGATGGGATTGGATATGTAATTCTACTTTTTTTTTTAATTAATTAATTATTTTATAAATAAATTAATGTAATAAAAACCTAGTTGTATGAAAATGCAACGTTGTGTCAAAATTTCAAGACAATCGGTACAAATACTTTTGTGAGATTACCAATTATATATAGATAAAGGTTAGGTTATATTCAAATGTTTCACTCACTCACTGAAATCTATAGCCAACAGATGGTGCTGAACTTACTTGTATCTTTTTTAAATTAATTCATCATTTTATAAATAAATTAATGTAATAAAAACCTAACTGTATGTGAATGCAACGTTGTGTCAAAATTTTAAGACAATCGGTATAAGTATTTTTGGAGGTTAGGGATTAGGAACAAACGAAATCTACATTTATATATATATACAAAACATGTGTATAGACATATGTAGACATTTGCGTCACAGTGAAAATCAAGGAAAATTCGTTGTTGATAACAACATCCGATGGATCAATAATAATATCTCTTTCTATCTCCATTTTATCATTGATTCGATCACGTCCTGTTGCTAAATTAATTACCTCTGACGTTTGGGGGTGGAAAAGGTGGGGATGGTTGACGCTTTAACCGCTTTAAACAACGGCGTTGATAATTCGACACCGATATATTTCAGGTTTTTCTACGATATATTGAACATTGACAGACAGAATGAGAGGTAGGATAAGATGGAAAGTGGTGTTGAAAGTAAAAAAAAAAAGAAAAAAAAAGTATTAAAAAAAAATGGAATCTGGTTTGGTCTTTTCTAGAGTTAATAATTGAAGAAAACGTAAGCTTCTTACTCTCTCTTTCTCTTTCTGAGCTTTAAGCTCAGTGTAACTTACGTCCAACTTCATCCATTTTCATTATAATAGTACTTATCTACTTCTACGTGCTTGCGAATACCATCGATGGAATTATCCTTTGCTTGTGCCCATTCCCTTCTGTGAGATATATATGGTGGTGATATCTAAAGGGAACAAAATTCTTTCGTTGTAATACGAATTTGAAAAATTCAAGAGAGTAAACGATTTTTACTTTAAAGAAACCACAAAATTTATTTGAAAATTATTTTGCAATATTATATAATAATATTATTATAATATATTATATATATTATATATATATATTATATTTATTTTATTATTTATTTTTAATTAAATTAAATATTAATTAATTAATTAATTAAGTTAATTTATATTTCATTAATGTCATTATAATATATTAAGTGTATAAACTTTGCTTCGGCTATTTTCCTACAGATGGCTTATAGAAAAAATGGCGGTAAAAAAATTATACAATATTGGAATCTCTAGCACTTGAATACGCTATCTGATGGCTTAATTCAAAATTAGAATAGATAGGTCGATTTACTACGACACGTGGGATCTCTAGCACTTGAATAGGCTATCTGGTGGCTAAATTCAAAATTAGAATAGATAGGTCGATTTACTACGACACGCCCCTGTCAGAAATCCCAATACACCTATTATAATGATAATATAATAATTATAATAACGTGAAATGTGTGTGATTAATCACGATGAAAATAAAAAAAGAAAAAAACAAGTGAAAGCCCTTTGTATAAATCAAATATGTCTGACAATTGAAATATAAATCCCACCCCTAATCCCTCCACGTGTCTCACGTTTAGACATCTTGTTTTTTTTATTTTTTTTATTTTTTTTATTTTATCAATCGGACGAGATACAATTAGTGAACTGACACAACGTCGATCCTCTTTTCTTCTCCCTTTCTTTCTTTTTTTTTTTTTTTGTTTGCTTTCAGTATTTTAAATTGTCATCATCGAAGAGTATGAAAAAGAAAAAGGGTGGAAAAGGGATTGACGCGTTCACATGGAAAAGGGAAAAAGATCGGACAACAGTATTGTCGTACCCTATTTTCTATATTGCACTTGGAACTTTTATACTCGCGAGAATGCAACGTCATCCCCCCCTCTCGCCCCCTCCTTCGCCGCCGCCCCCACCCCACTCCTTCCTCACCCTCACCCCCTGTATATTGTCGATGCAATGCAACCCCCCCCCCAACATCACTGCCTTGTGGCATTTGACGCGCAGCAAACTTTGATATATAAAAGCTTTTCTAGTTTTTTTTATTTTTTATTTTCTTTTCTTTTTTTTTTTTTTTCGTTTTTTATTATTACTTTTTTTCTACCCTCAAGTTACGCATAAAAATAGTATACAGTAGGATAAAAAAAAAAAAAAAGAATTTAAAATTAAAGTACATTCTGTTTGAATCAAACAACAACGTTGTTGATTTGAAATTTCAATCGTTCATTTTGAATGTTTCTCTTTAAAATCGAGCCACGACGTGTATACTCGTCAATCACAGAATATAACATGCACTGGTTAAGAAGATACATTGGATTAAAAATATGATTATTAATGATTAACATAAACATATATTATACGTAAAATATTTAACACCACTAATCGGCGTCACGCATTTCTCCCATGACTGACCATACCTTGAAGGAATCCTATTATAAATCAACTTTCTGACTTTTGCCCTTTGACCCTTTTTAGGCTAACATCTAACAAAAAGAAAAAACGTTATCATCGCGCATAAATAAATTCGTTTAAGCTTTCTGGTTAAGCTGTTTCAACCCCGGTGCATACGTGGGACGGCGCGCATGAGTTCGTCTCAAATTATTTATGTTTTTTTTTTATTTGTCAGTTTTATTCCAGCATGGGCTCAAAATATTCTAAACATCTCGAAATTTGACAATACGTTTTTGTTTGCCTCAAAAAAAAAAAAAAATTACAATTTCAATGGCCAATGGTTGTTACTTTATACGGCACGACGAGTATACTCGTCAATAGAAAAATTGTACCACTTCTTCATAACGAGTGTACTTTTCAATCACAGTTAATCAGGTGAATGATTTCTTGTGTGCACATGTGTAATGTTCGAAAAGTCATATAAACAATATTGAATGAGAGAAATTTGATAGAGGTGTCAGTCTGCAGGTGAATCTCGAAGAGAAAGGATCATTTTTTCTGAGCTTTTAGACAACAATAGACTCTTCTATCGATTAATTAACAATTATTTTAATATTTAAATACATTCTACTTATATTATAAGACAATTTAACCCTTTGAAGTCATCATTGTTTAAGAGCAATAAAATAATTCCATTAATCAGTTAACTGTAGCACCCTCGTTTGAGAAAATGCACCGTTTGGTGTTGTCAGAATCGTGTCATGACGAGTATACACGTCAATCACAGTTAACTGTTTAAATAATAATTATATTAATATTATTTTATAAATCTCACACACACACACACACACACATTTAACTTGGAACACAATATTTATTTCATTTAATTTTATATTGATTAATTGAGAAATAATTGTGGGGTGGTATATTTGATTTCGATGAACAATGAATGTTAGTAGAAAAGAAAAATTGTCATTAATTTGTTCGCTTTAACGCGAATGAAATTTATTTTGTCGACGACATAACGAACCAAAAAAAAAAAAAAAAAAAGTTGATGTGTGCCATTGCCAAGGGCATCAAGCCACGGAAGTGGTATAGCCACATGCTCCTCTTCTATTCATAGTCGCATTTTGTCGTGTATTACACACGTTCATGTTTCCTGCACATGTCCTAAGTGAAAAAGAGAAAGAGAGAGAGAGAGAGAGAGAAAGATATCTTCTCTTGAATATTCTCATCTGGGTAGGTCAGCTTTTCTCCTTGACGATTAATGAGAGAGAGAGAGACAGAGACAGAGAATGCATCTATTTGTTTTCTGTTCTTTTTATTTTCACCAAGATAAAAATTTAGATTGATTAATAAACATGTGTTGTACAATACACGATTGTTTGTGAATTTTTACAAAAATATTATTAAATTTTGTTTCTTTTCTCAAAAAGTAAAATAAAATGAAGAAGCTTTTTAGCAGAGAAAGAGAGAGAAAGATAGAATAAAAGTAAAATGGTTTTTTACAAAACTGTCATTTGCCAGTTTGAGAAGACTATTACAATAAATTATTACAATTAATTAAGAAAAACAACAACAACCCCAATTTGTATTCGATTTGTTATAATTTGTTTGAGAAATGTAAACAAATGGGGGTGCGGGGGTTGAGAAAAAATTGATCACAAAAATGTCTGACGATTAGAACTCGTAGAATTTTCTTGCAATTTGTTCTCGTACAAATTTTCTTACTGTGATTTTCACAAAGCCCACACCACCACATCTCATCTATTTTCATTACACGAGATGAGTTGTTTCTCACTACCTTCTTCTTCTTCTTCTTACTGAGGACAGTCTCGTCTAACCAATGCAACCGTCTCGACGGTTTTGTTTTTTGTTTTGTTTCAAACTCCAAGTAAAAAAAAAAAAAAAAGAAGAAAAAAAAGCAACTTTACAGTCAAATTAAGTGTGTCCATGAATGAAATTGTTGTTTAAATTCACTAACACACATTAAAAAAAAAAAAAAAAGGAGTCGTACATTTTGAATACAATTGATGAATTAATTGATTTATCATCAACGAATGGAATGGGTCGTATCGTACATTCGATTAGGCGAGGTAAGTAAAAATAATTATACTTAAATTGTTAATAATAATAATATTTGGTTGACAATGAAATAATTACGGATTTTTTTTTTTTTTTCAAAGAAAATCATTGGTTAAATGATTATTGAATGAAAAGAAACTTTTCTCTGAGCTAACAAAATTGTTCTTTCTCCCTGCCCCCCACTTTAATCCCAATTCCCCCCACTCCGTCAATGTCAGTCTCAATCACGTGATTTCACTGACTGTGTAATCATGGTTTTACTGTAATAATGGGATAGATTCAACTGCAAGAATTTTATCTCAAAACACACAATACAATATATATACAAAATTCTATTATTCAAAAGACAACTCGGTGTGTGTGTGTGTGTGTGTGTATGTGTGTGTGTGTGTGCAACGATTAAATAAAATAAAATAAATGAAAATGTAAAATACCAACTGGTTTATTCACGGATTTGTTTACAAGGAAAATCACATGAAGATGTCACATCGTCATCTATATAAATGCAACAATTTTCTAATGAAAACGATGATGAAATATTTGTGAACCGTAACTAAAGAAAAGAAAAAAAAAAGGAAATTGACGAAAAAAGAAAATGATAAAAAAAAAAAAAAAAAAAAGGGGTTGAAAAGAGAAAAGAAGAATTTCATGGAAGAAGAATTAGAGCCAACGTCGAACTCTTTTTTTTTTCTTTTCTGTTACAGAGCCGAAGAAGGAAAAGACTGAACAGAGTGCAAATGGCGGACTATCGCCAAGTGCCGAGACTCAGGTCAATCAGAGCACGACTACGAGCGTTGCGGTGCCGGTTTCAGGCACAACCCCGAATACAGGGGATCAACAAAAGCCGAATAGGCCGAACACCCTTGATGCCAGGGTTGTAGCCAGGAGGCTGATCTTGTTCGACAGTGAGTACATTCTATTAGGGTGGGGAGGGGTGCGGGGAGGGGGGACCAAAAAGTAATCCAAATTTTTCTTTATTGACGATGAAACATTTATTTATTTAAAGAAATTTTAATCCCTTGCACTCGAGATCATTTTACATGTACTTTAAAAGTCATATTTATAAACAAACAAACAAACAAACGTAGGACAAATAATCAAATTTCATCAATTGATTTATTTTTATATCAAAAACAAACAAAATTTGTGAAATATTATACTCTGTAATTAGTTTTTGAATGTAATTTCGTAAAACAATAGTCAGGATGTATCCTAGGTGTTTATCAGGACACGTATCACAATAAAATGTTACCTTGTCACCTATCTCCAGGTGTATTACGATCAGAGTAAACCTTACAGTCCCTTTTCAACCCTTTAAGTATTATCTTTAAAAAAAATATCTTATCACAGATCGTAAATAAGTAGATAGAGTAGCAAAAGGTTTCAAATCAGCCAGTGGGCGCTGTATCAGCGCCGCTCGAGTTGCCACTTCAATCTGCCGGGCGCTCGAATGCAAAGGGTTAAATGCTAATCAACAAATTTGTTTTATCATTTTCTAACACAAATTGTCTTACGTAAAAGAAATTGTTTAATTTCCTTTTTTAAAAAGTCCTTCAATTTTTCATTGACACCCCTTATATTATTATACGAAAATATCATCCTCTTTCTACTTCCACGTTTTCCTATTGGCTCAGAGAAAAGTTTTATTACTTTTTTTCAAAAAAAAAAATAAGATATATATAAAAAGAAATTATACCGAATGAAAAAATAGGGTGGGGATATAAGAAAGTGGTGGGGGAAGTACAGAGACAGATGGAGGGGGAAATTTAAACACGTCAAATATTATGCTTATTATTATTATTATGTTCTAAACATTATGTTTTATCACGATACGCATGTATTTTTTATTTTAGGTTATATTTTAAGTTATGTTTAACACGTTGCCGCTAATGACGGCTATAGTCGTCCGATTTTTGTGTTTCTAAGCACGATCGTCAAATTAAAAGTGTGCGGCAACGTGTTAATTAATGGTGCAATAATACGATTGTTAATTTATCTAAAAATAAAATGAAAGCTTCTGGGGCATATTGATAATGCGGTATTATGGGCGGTGTTTTAATAGCATTACTTGATTAAAAAAAAAATCCAAAGATAAATAATAAAAAATACAACAACAAAATATCTCATAGATAATACGATGAGAGAGAGAGAGAGAGAGGAATGTTGTGTGATAGTTGAAATATTTCATTGCGGTTCTAAACCCGAGACACCCAATTTGTTGTCAGAGTTTGCAACTTTATCGTTTAGATTGTACACTAAATAAACTACGTGGTTCAAATATACTATATATATACATATACACTCGTAAAACATATAAAATTTGTTGTTTTATTTAAGAAAGAGAGAATGATTGGTAGATGATAAATAGGATTCGTACATGTTATTTAACAAAATAAAGATCTTCAAATTGTATGAAGATTAGTCACTCGTTCCACGAATATTTTCTAAGTTTTCTTGGTGACAAAAAGGTAT